CCATGTAATAAAAATGATTAAAAATTATATTTTCTGCTACGCGAGAAATTTTCTTCTTGGAAATCATTTTACATTGAGCCAATATTACAAACAAAAATTTTGATCCCAATCTGAGTGGGGGAACCGCCCCATTTGCCACCCCCCATGTAATAAAAATGATTTAAAATTTTATTTTCTGCCACGCGTGAAATTTTCTTTTTGGAAATCATTTTCCATTGAGTCAAGATTACAAACAAAAAATTTGACCCGAATCAGAGTGGGGGAACCGCCCCATTTACCACCCCCCATGTAATAAAAATGATTAAAAATTTTATTTTCTGCCACGCGCGAGATTTTCTTTTTTGAAATCATTTTACATTGAGCCAATATTACAAACAAAATTTTTGACCCAAATCTGAGTGGGGGAACCGCCCCATTTACCACCCCCCATGTAATAAAAATGATTAAAAATTTTATTTTCTGCCACGCGCGAGATTTTCTTTTTTGAAATCATTTTCCATTGAGCCAAGATTACAAACAAAAAATTTGACCCGAATCAGAGTGGGGGAACCGCCCCATTTACCACCCCCCATGTAATAAAAATGATTAAAAATTATATTTTCTGCCACGCGAGAAATTTTCTTCTTGGAAATCATTTTACATTGAGCCAATATTACAAACAAAAATTTTGATCCCAATCTGAGTGGGGGAACCGCCCCATTTACCACCCCCCATGTAATAAAAATGATTTAAAATTTTATTTTCTGCCACGCGCGAAATTTTCTTTTTTGAAATCATTTTACATTGAGCCAAGATTATAAACAAACAATTTGATCCAAATCGGAGTGGGGGAACCACCCCATTTGCCTCCCCCCATGTAATAAAAATTATTAAAAATTTTATTTTCTGCCACGCGCGAGATTTTCTTTTTTGAAATCATTTTCCATTGAGCCAAGATTACAAACAAAAAATTAGACCCAAATCTGAGTGGGGGAACCGCCCCATTTACCACCCCCTATGTAATAAAAATGATTAAAAATTATATTTTCCGCCACGCGCGAAATTTTCTTTTTTGAAATCATTTTCCATTGAGCCAAGATTACAAACAAAAAATTTGACCCGAATCAGAGTGGGGGAACCACCCCATTTGCCTCACCCATGTAATAAAAATGATTAAAAATTTTATTTTCTGCCACGCGCGAGATTTTCTTTTTTGAAATCATTTTACATTGAGCCAATATTACAAACAAAATTTTTGACCCAAATCTGAGTGGGGGAACCGCCCCATTTACCACCCCCCATGTAATAAAAATGATTAAAAATTTTATTTTCTGCCACGCGCGAGATTTTCTTTTTTGAAATCATTTTCCATTGAGCCAATATTACAAACAAAATTTTTGACCCAAATCTGAGTGGGGGAACCGCCCCATTTACCACCCCCCATGTAATAAAAATGATTAAAAATTTTATTTTCTGCCACGCGCGAGATTTTCTTTTTTGAAATCATTTTCCATTGAGCCAAGATTACAAACAAAAAATTTGACCCAAATCTGAGTGGGGGAACTGCCCCATTTACCACCCCCTATGTAATAAAAATGATTAAAAATTCCTTTTTCTGAAACTCGCGAAATTTTCTGTTTTGAAATCATTTTCCATTGAGCCAAGATTACAAACAAAAAATTTGACCCGAATCAGAGTGGGGGAACCACCCCATTTGCCTCACCCATGTAATAAAAAGTATTAAAAATTCCTTTTTCTGAAACTCGCGAAATTTTCTGTTTGGAAATCATTTTACATTGAGCCAAGATTTCAAGAAAAAAATTTGACCCCAACCCGAGTGGTGGAACCGCCCCATTTGCGCCTCCCCCATGTAATAAGAATTATTAAAAAATACATTTTCCGCAACGCGCGAAATTTTCTTTTTGTAAATCATTTTCAGGGTTGCCACGCTTTTACTCATTTTAAATTCCCTGACTTTTCCAGGTTTTCCAGGTTAAAAAACGGAATTTTTCCAGGTTTTTAAAACTACATTTATATTTTACAAAATTTTTAATTCTAACCTTTTTGAAATTAAATATGTTTTATAATAATTAAAAATGTGGGACTGATAAAATCATCATTTTATACGTATTATAAGAATATTGTTACTGTAACTTATTCAAAATTACTTTTATTATTTTAATTCAATTATTGTTTTCCACAATTTCTAACTAAAATTCTTCTTTATAAAGTGTAAATTAATTATTATTAATAATTTCTGAAAAATTTCTTTCAACAATTTCAAATCCTTTTGTTTACAATATTCAATTTTACGAAATTTCATCGATTATTCAGGTATTCGGAAATTCTTCAATCAAATATAATATATTAGAAAATAAAAACTTGAAATAACTTCAAAAAAATTCAATTCAACTTTTACAAAAAAATGAAATCTACACAATTTTAAGTTAAAAGTATGAAAAATTCAAACATTCAAAGATTATAATTTGAAATCTTTTCAAAACTCAATTATTATCTAAAGTTTTAACTGAAATTCATATTTCAATCAATTATTATTAGAAAATTCTACGACAATTCAATTATTTAACCCGTTGCCTGTTTCCAACCCACGGGTGGGTCGTGAAAAAGTGTGGCCTTAACTGTTTCCGACCCACCCGTGGGTCGTGTTCACTATGAGTCAAAATAAATATAATTTGTATATAAATTGATAGATATTTTTCTTTATATCAATATTATAAGAAATTATAAGGGTCATTAATGATATTTTAGAAAATAATTGAATAATTAGTTATAATTTAAATATATTATACTATTTGAAGAAGTATCACATTCCGCTGGGCAGTTTGGGACAATCATGTTGTATTTTCCTCAAACAGTTAAGGGGTTAAATACAAAAAAATAATTTATTGAAAAATTGAATGGTTTTTAAAATTCAACTCTCATTTAAAGAATTTTATCAACAATTTAAGAATAATTTCATTTTTCGAGAAATTAGATTAAAAATGTATTAAAAATAATTGAATCTCTGTAAAAAAATTTCATTGAATTGAGAAAAGTTTTTGAAAATAATTGAAATTTTGTCAAGAATTTTGTTAAAATTTTTTTTAATAATTGAAATATTGCCAAGAAATTTATTAAAATTTTTAAAAATAATTGAATTTTAGAGAAAAATTTTAATATTTATAAAAATAATTGAAATTTTGACTATAACTTTTTTTAAACTTTTGACCATAATTGAATTTCTGCTAAGAATTTTATTACTTTTAAAAATAAGTGAATTCTTAAGACGAATTTTTTAATAATATTTCTTTTTTAAATACCTAATTATTTTTAATACAAAAATAAATAATTTATTGAATAATTGAATTCTCATAAAGAATTTTATTAACAAATTTTTAAATAATTGCATTATTTTGACGAATTTTAATAAAATTTTAAGAATAATTACATTTTTCGAGGAATTCGACTAAAATTGTATCAAAAATAATTGAAATTCTGCATTGAGTTTTATTATCTATGAAAATAATAATTGAATCCCTGTAAAAAATTGTATTACATATTTATAAAAATAATTGAATCTCGGTAAAAATAAATTGAATATTTTCGAAAATAATTGAATTATTGCGAAGAAATTTATAAAAAAATTTTTTTTAATAATTCATTTCTTTTGGAAAATTTTATTAAAATAGTAGATATATTTAAAAATATTGACTGGAGGAGAATTTTTGAAAAAAAATTGAATTTGTTAAAAAGAATTTCATTAACATTTTTGAAAATAATTGAATTTTGGAGAAAAATTTTAATATTTATAAAGATAATTGAAATTTTGACGATAAATTTTTTAAACTTTTGATCATAATTGAATTTCTGCGCAGAATTTTATTACTTTTGAAAAGAATTGAATTTCTTTGATGAATTTGAATAAAATTTTTAAGAATAATTATACATTTTTCGAGAAATTCCATTAAAATTGTATTAAATATATTTGAAATTTTGCGATGAGTTTTTATTATTTATGAAAATAATTGTAAATCTATAAATTTTTTGATTATTTATGAAAATAATTGAATTATTGCGAAGAAAAATTGTAAAGGCAACTCTTTTAAAATTGAATTAAGAAAATTGAATTAAAGAAAAATTAGATTTCAAGAATAAGTACAATAACTTTAGAAAACAATAATTTTCCAGGATTCCAATCAAAGTTCCCTGACTTTTCCAGGTTTTTTCAAGGTTTATAAAAATTCCCTGACATTTCCAGGTTTCCCAGGTTTCCAGGTTGCGTGGCAGCCCTGATTTTACATTGAGACAAGATTACAAAAAAAAATTGACGCGAATCCGAGTGTAGGAACCACCCCATTAGCCTCCCCCCAAGTAATAAAAAAATGATTTTAAAATACCGTTTTCGCTACGCATGGAATATTTTTTCTTAAAAATTAAATTAAATCTCACCAAGAATCTAGAAAAAATAGTTTAACCCTATCCGAGTGGGGGAACCACCCTAATTACGCAACCCCCTAGTTAATAAAAATTCTACAAAAATACGTTTTCTTTTACTATTCGCGAAATTGTTTACCATGATATCAATTTACATTATACTAAGAGGGTAGAAAAAAATTTGATCCATATCAGAGTAGGGGAAGTGCCCCATTTGCCCCCCCCCCCTTTATGCAATTAAATTTTTTAAAAAATACAATTTTTACTACGATCGAAATTTTTTAGCTGGATTCTTGTTACTATTATGCAAAATAAATCTAAATGTAAATAATAAGTTATTGCAATTTTGTATGATAAACTTAAATTTTTAACATACATTACTTTTTATTTATAAATTTATTCATGCAATTATTAAAGGAAAATAATAACATTGTAATCAATTAAAAACATACTTTATTGTCTTATATTTTAAAAATTGTAATAAATTAAAGAATAAATTTCTGTTTTTTCATTTACATACTATATTTGTTATTTGCACACTTTTTTGTTCAATTTACATATAAAACACTGTTTTCTTTTCTTAAAATACAAAGATTCATTTTTTATTTTTTTGTGATTGACGCCTGCACAGTTTACATTTATATTTATCTAAGATATCTTTATTAACTCTTTTATTTGGCCGATAGTTAATGTTTTCTTCATCATCAGAATTAATTTCTCCTTTATACGCACATTGTTTGTGAACGTTTACACTACATTCTTCACAGACAATACATTTTTTGTCTTTAACTTTAAATTCGCAATAAGCACAATTTTGTGGTCCTTTTTCAGCACAAATAATCAACTGATTAGCAACATTATTTCTAAACTTAAGAGGGTTGAAGTTTTCTTCCATTTCTGTGTCAGTTGCAATACTATCCAAATAGTACTGGATGTAAACTCCACAGTTAGACCCATCGTTTACTGGTTGATATGGTCTTCTTTTTACGTATTGTTTTACTTCAAATTTCCCTTTTTTAAATTTTCCAAAAGAAGAATTAACGTCGCAAACTTTTATAAATTGATAAAATGCCTCTACCACTCTGTCTTCATCACTACCTTGCATATAAGGATCTATTAACGTTATGAACAATTGTTTTACATTAACAAATAGTAATCTCCAATGTCCAAGGAACAAGTAAGGCATTAGAATGATATCATTCAGAGGTTTATTCATTTTATAAAATGGGTGAATGGTATCCTTCCTTTTATTATAAAAATCCCCTAAAAATATACTTGTATTATCAGTTGGAATGTAAGTAATATTTTCTGACCAAAATTGTTTTCTACACACAGAATAAGAGTCAATGATTTGCCCGTCAATCCAACCTGAATCGTTTGTAAGAGATTTTAAGTGCTTGCAAGTAATATGAATTTCGCTGGTTGTTGAAAATACACTATCTCCAAACGTGAATTTTCCAACTATTATGTAATTCGATTTCGAAGTAGAATAATATTCTAAATTCTTTTTCTCATTTTGAGAATATTCGATTATATTATCGCCTATGTTTTCTACTACACATTCTTCGTGAATTGTTTTTTGACGTTTTTCTTCTAAGTGTTTTCCGTTTTCATTAATTATTTTCCTTTTCCGTGAATCAGTTTTCTCATTTTTAAATATTTCTTTATTTAGATTGACTATTTCTTTTTTTTTCTTCAGGTCATCAACTTCGTAATTTGATCCAGTCAGTTTATTGTTACTAGTTTGAATAAATTCTTTTCTTACAAAATTTTTTGTGCCGTGTTTAGATACTAGTCGCTCTGCTTCATTTTCCTCTGCTGTTATTATTTTCTTATCAATGATTTCTTTTACCAGTTTCGTCAAAGTTTTAGCCGACGCATGATTAGCTTTTCTTTGAACCGATTGTTTACCTCTTCTCCACACGTCAACAGTTAAAGGATTAGAAGCTGTATCTGGATAAGCTGGCTTTTCTTTTTCTTTCTTAGTCATTTTTATTCTCGCATCTTCCCCCAGGTTACATTCTGCTACAATTTCATCAACATAGTCTTCAAGTTCCCTAATGACTTGTCCTGCTGCACAATTTTTTCGCTTTTCTAAGATAGAATGTTTTATTGTTGCATTGTGTGTTTCTACGTAACTATTACTAACGCGAGAGATATTTTTATCAATAGTATCGAGCATCAATGCTCCACAAATAGAAATGAAAGGCATATACTCCAGTGTTAAATATTCTGCAAATCTAGGACAATAAAATTTATTCAAATTTTCATCGTTTTCATCATCGAGTAAAGCTTCTTCTTCATTGTATTTGTTCTGCAATCTTACTAATTTTATATAAAACCGTTTATAAAATTCTGATTGGGTAAATACTGCTTTGCTGTCTTTATAAAAGTACTCGAATTCTTTTTCAATCTTATATTCCTCTATAGCATTTTCAATAACTTTTACTTCTTTGTAAACACTTTTCATTTCATCCTTTATATCTTTTGTTATCATGCCGGAGAGAATGAGAATTGACCTATTAGCTTTTTCTGCATCCTTCGTTAACAGAATGTGTAAAATATCTTCAAATATAACGTCTACTTCATCAATAGTTCGACTTAATAATAACAAACTGAATATGTCTAGAACAAAACTTTTCTTATCTTTTAAACGTATATAATTTTTGTCTATAGTTTTTGATGTTCGATGCATTACGTGAGCAAAACACGTCAATAGGAATGTTAAGTGGTTTGGAAGGTCTTTTTTCTTTGTTAAATAATCATAAGTCATATTAATGTAATCAACTACTGTCATTTTATTCCACTGTAATGTTATGGCGTTTATTGATGCCCAAGACCAGTCGACAACAATAGCTTTAAAAAATGGCCATTCAAATTTTTCTTTCAGAACAAATTCTTCAAAATCCATCAAAAATTTGCCTATAGAAAAAGCGTCATGATTCACCGTTAACATCTCTATTGCTGGAATTTCGGATTCATTAACTTTGCACACTATGCAATAGTACATGACTTTATTGCTAGAAACGTCATCTAGTTTCCTAGCTATGGATCCTGTAGAATCACAATGCCCAATTCTAGTTGATTTATTATCGACTATTGCTTGTAATTGCCGTTTGCTATACATGACTGTTCTCAAAGGTACTGACACATTACGAAGATAAGGATCATCTTTTTTACTTTCATTTATACACAGCTGACATAAATCTGAAAGTACTTTATCTTCCAAAGTTAATCGATGTTTACTTTTATCTTCTTGTCTGATTTTGTGTAGCGTTTTTATTTTCATCATATTTTGTGGATGACCATTTTGCCACATATCTTTGTTTAATGATAGTTCTGTCTTCAATTGAATTTTTCTAGCAGATTGATGTTGTAAAAGTCTCTTCATTTCATCTCGTTGCTTACCTCTGATCTGTTTATACTTTTTTGTTGTGCCATCATGTGAAACTAACATTTTTTTATTACTTAATACTCTCAACGTTGTATGTTTAAGCTCTAAATCTCTTATTTCACATTTAAAATGTTGTGAATGAATATGATTTTGAGAGCAAAATGCGTATATAATAATTGTATTTTTTACACTGTTATTAAATCTAAAATTATAAAATGTTAAACTACATGGGCATTCTAAAATTTCGAAAAAACATTTCTTAATAGAACCATATATGGTATCTCTGTCATATGTATCCGTATTACTTTTCCACATTTTTTGATCGACTTGTACTTCACCTATGAACTCTTCATATTTTATCCTTTCTTTTTTTGCTGTTTTACTAGTTTTTTCCATTTCTTCTTTTGCTTTACTATTATCTTTCTTTTCTATCTTGTGACATATTTTTCTTAATTTCTTCTTTCTTGCTGTATCATCACCATCAGCATCTTCATTATATTCATCACCATCTTCATTATATTCATCATCATCGCCATTCTCATCATCATCACCATTATTTTCATATCCATCATCATCACCGTCGTTACCATCACCATTATTATATTCATAATCATATTTATCATCATATTCATCATCATCGCTACCTATACTAACATTATCATCATCATCTTTAACACAATACTTCTCATCATAATCATGCTCACTATTCTCATAATTAGTAGTCTCATCATTGACATTAATTGCATCACAATCTCTATTCTCAACGTTTTTATTATTCTGACAATAATCCTTATTTTCACACTCATCATCACTAATTCTATCAAAACAATTCTTAACATTTTCATTTTTATCGTCGGTTGACTTGTTCCAACTATTCTCATTAACATCACTCTCATTCGTTTTAAACTCATTATTTGTTGTACTATAATTATCATAATTATAAGCATCAATATCATTAAAAGTACTCCCCTCATTATTATTCTTCTTTTTTTCATTATTATTTATACTATTAATATCATTGCGACTACTCTCATTTTTACCATTTTTGACAATTATTAAATCACTATTACTCTCAAATTTATCGTCCTCTTTCATATTTTTATTACAACTATTTTGGTCAAAAGTAATTTTATTTTCACGACGTACATTCACACCTTTTTTATTGCAACTATATTTATTTTCATCACACTCATCAATAACATTCTCATTGCACTCATTCTTATTATCATTAAGGTCTATAATTTTATTTATTTTTATCCATTCTTCTTGATGAATTATGATTTTTTCCTTTCTTGTGTCCCTACTTTTTGGAAATTTGGAAGAATGCATTTCTTCTGTCTCTTCATTGAAGTCAAAAGCTGAAAAATCTTTTGCATTGTCTACTACTACTTGTGTTTCTGTACAAATTGTCTCTTTTAATTCTTCATTAAAAGTAGTTGCAGACAACTTTTGTGTTTCTTTTTCATCTTCTGCTATTTTCCCTATCACACTACTCTTCTCTTTTCTTTCTTCTAATCTCTCTTCTTTACATTCTACTTTCTTCTCCTTTGGTTTCTCTATTTCATCTTCTGCTATTTTCCCTGTCACACTACTCTTCTCTTTTCTTTCTGCTAATCTCTCTTCTTTACATTCTACTTTCTTCTCCTTTGGTTTCTCTATTTCATCTTCTGCTATTTTTCCTGTCACACTACTCTTCTCTTTTCCTTCTTCTAATCTCTTTTCTTTACATTCTACTCTCTTCTTCTCTGGTTTCTCTATTTCATCTTCTGCTATTTTCCCAGTCACACTACTCTTCTCTTTTCTTTCTGCTAATCTCTCTTCTTTACATTCTACTTTCTTCTCCTTTGGTTTCTCTATTTCATCTTCTGCTATTTTTCCTGTCACACTACTCTTCTCTTTTCCTTCTTCTAATCTCTTTTCTTTACATTCTACTCTCTTCTTCTCTGGTTTCTCTATTTCATCTTCTGCTATTTTCCCTGTCACACTACTCTTCTCTTTTCTTTCTGCTAATCTCTCTTCTTTACATTCTACTTTCTTCTCCTTTGGTTTCTCTATTTCATCTTCTGCTATTTTTCCTGTCACACTACTCTTCTCTTTTCCTTCTTCTAATCTCTTTTCTTTACATTCTACTCTCTTCTTCTCTGGTTTCTCTATTTCATCTTCTGCTATTTTCCCTGTCACACTACTCTTCTCTTTTCTTTCTGCTAATCTCTCTTCTTTACATTCTACTTTCTTCTCCTTTGGTTTCTCTATTTCATCTTCTGCTATTTTTCCTGTCACACTACTCTTCTCTTTTCCTTCTTCTAATCTCTTTTCTTTACATTCAATTCTCTTCTTCTCTGGCTTCTCTATTTCATATTCTAATATTTTTCCTGTCACGCTACTCTTCTCTTTTCTTTTTTCTAACCTCTTTTCTTTACATTCTACTTTCTTCTTCTCTGGTTTCTTTATTTCATCTTCTGCTATTTTCCTTGACACACTATTCTTCTCTTTTCCTTTTTCTAATCTCTCTTCTTTATATTCTACTCTCTTCTCCTCTGGTTTCTTTATTTCATCTTCTGCTATTTTCCCTGACACATTATTGTTCTCTTTTCCTTTTTTTAATATCTCTTCTTTATATTCCATTCTCTTCTTCTCTTGTTTCTTAATTTCCATCTTTTTTGTGTAATAATGGAATTCTTCTATTAGTTCAAAATGTCCCGATCTATCACTTCTAGAAAAAAACAACATAATTGTTGAATTATTTGTAATGTCCGGAGTGTTGAATCTTCCAATATTTTTCACAATTTCATGATTTTCTGTTTCCTTAAATATTTGTACATTGACATTGTATAATTGTGAAAACATTCCAATTTCAAAATCAGTACCATATTTTCCATTTCCCCCCATCTTCTCATTATAATCCGCAAAAGTGTTACATTTTTTTTCGTTTTCATCTTGAGTAGCATGTAAATTATATTTAAGATCATTCCAGTTACATTGAACATGATTTACAATTCTTTGGCGTATTATTTTATGCGTATCGTTTTTATATATATGATTCTCTTGATCAGTAAGCCATAATGCAAGAGAGTGAAACAAGCAATTTCCATAGCTACGTAAACCTGACAGAACCATATTGTCGGATCACGATGGGACCTATTGCATAATTAAGGGCTCATTTAGGGCTAATTTAATGCCCCATTGCCAAATTTCCGGCCCTTTATATTTTAAAAAAAATCCATGGTTTTGTCACCCTTACTTCAAGCTGGCAGAACCACCTTCAAAAATGCTTAAAATGGTGTTTTAACAATTTTTCAATGTACGACAAATTTCGGCTCAATTTCGGCTTCAAGTTTCCACAATAAAAATTAATTAATATTATAATTTAACAAAAAATTTAAAAAGGGCTGACACATAATTTATCCCCTTGTCCTTGTTTTTCATTAACTATTTAAAGTCTGAATTACTTTCATTAATTCCATTTCTTCCACACTTGGTATGTAAAGGTTTTTTCAGGGTTTTATGGTTACGAATCTAAAATCAAAATTCAAAATGGCGTATCCAATATGGCGGACAAAACAAATTAAAAAATCAACAGAATTTACTTGAAACTTTGTACTGTGAAGTTTTCAGGGTTTCTGATGATGAATCAAAAGTAAAAATTTCAAAATTGAATATGTAGGATCCACACTGAAAAAAATATTCTAGTTTTGAGAAGAAAATTCCTCTTGAATCAAGAGGAGTATTTTCCTCTTATTCTAAGAGGAATATTCTTAAGTGGAGAATAATCCTCTTCAAATAAGAGGATTATTTTTGAGACATACACCCAGAGAAATGGTAGGGGAGGGTGGGGCAAGACGGGGTACTTAAGGTTTAAAGCGCAAAAAAACGAAAATTATGTAATATATACTTTATTATTTTTTTTTTAATCATCTTTGGGAATCAGTCTTTCGTAAAAAAGCCGTACAAAGGCCATCTGATTCTTAAATAGCTTATAATTAATAATATAGAAAAACTTGCAAATCACCCCATCTTGCCCCACCAGGGGGCAAGATGGGGTACCTGTAGGGGCAAGATGGGGTACTAAATGAAACAACCTATTTTTGTCGACAAATTTTACAGGTGAAGGTTGCATCTTCATCTTCATGCATAACTGCAGTGAGCCCATTGGCCGCAGACAAAAAAAGCAGCCCAGCCTTCATTTGAGTCTAAATAATAACCATTACAATAGAGACAAGGTGTATTTTCCACTTTACCATCGCTAATTGATGATTTAACCTGACAAGCTTTTTTCTTTTTGGTCACTCTTATTTTATTCAGTCTTGATTTTAGTAGTTTTCTTAACTTCTCTTATTTCTCTTTTTTTTGCTTAATTTGTGAACCCCGTCTTGCCCCCACCTACGAAATTGAAGAAAAAGATTAATTACTACTATTTACGATTCAACAAAGAAAAAAAACTTATGCTTCCTTTCTCCTGTAACCCTTGACAGTTAGAAAAAAATTTATACAGTCCATTAACTGTTATTATTAAATAATAAACACCTCCTAAAAAAAGTGAAAAAATGACAAGAAAATCGTCGAAAACAGTTTTTTTAGGAAAACAGATAAAAGATTTGTTCTCATGACTTTTAGGTTTTATAAACAAGATACTATCGTCTCGGTGCAGTATTATGTAAAATATAATCGCGATTGGTTAATTCGTTTGTTAAATAAGGCCGGTACCCCGTCTTGCCCCACCCTCCCCTATATTTGTCTCAGAACCAACTAGACTTTTTATTCGATTTAAATAAATTTTATTTGGTTTGAATGAAATTTTATTTAGCTCAAATATATATTTTATTTATACCGAATAAAATTTTTATTTAAAACAAATAAAAAGTCTAGTTGGTTCTGAGACAAATATACATTTATTTAACTTAAATAAAATATATTTGTTTTAAATAGTAATTTTCTCTGGATGTGTTCTCTCTACTTTAGTAGAACTTTTTTTTAGAATGTGCAAATAATGAGTTATTTGAAACAATAATTAATTTATTTATTTCACTCAATTAATTGTATATTTGATATTAATAAGAATTATTTGACGCAATTAATTAATTTTATGGCTTTAAGTAAACTAAATTATTTAATGCAAATAATGCAATATTTAATGCTAATAAAGTTTTTAATAAAAACAAATAAAAAAATATTTAAAACTATTTATTTATTTCATGCAATGGATGTTAGATATAAATAAAAATTATTTTTCTTAATTCATTTTAGGTATTTTTATTTTAACAATCTAAAAATATATTATATGAATAATAAATATGTGTTAAATGTATTAAATATAATAATTTTAGTAAGGTTTATATTAATTTAAAATAATTTTATAAAAATATTAAGAAATCTTGACATTTTTACACTGATATTTATATAGACATATCGAATATATTTTTCCAAGTCGCTTCGGTTGTCGATGTCGTTAAGGCTCTGTAATCAGATTTTTAATTAGTTAAAAAAAAGGTGCCTAATACTTTCAAGCTTTGAGTCTCTTAGAAAATTGAATCGAGAGTGCAAAATTTGAATTTTTGTTATTTCTATATATAATTATAAAAATTATAAAAAGTTTCGTTTATTTAATACAATGTGAAATTTATTTGTAATTAAAATTTTTTAAGCACTTACTGATTATTGTTTAATATTTTCAAAAATTTGTTATCGATTTTTCTTCTATAAGATTTGCCACGAAAACCGTAGTTTTGGAATAAAATACAATTTATTTCAATTTTTATAATGTAAAAAGTATAACTATGGACAGATCTTTCAAAAATTATTATTGAATGATTTTTCTAATTAAATTTGTAAAATATATACAACTAATAAATTTTTAATAATTGAAATTTATAAATTTAACTAAAAATAATTGATTTTTCAAGTATTTTATTCCTATTTTTGAAAATCAACTTTTGAGGAGTTTTAATTGAAAATTTTGAAAATAATTTAATTATTAAAAATTAATTAAAATTAATTTAAATTTGCTTCTAAAAATTATATTAAAATATTTTTGAAAAAAGTAATACTTATCGGAATTTTTCCTTACAATTTTTTAAAATTCAATTAGTTTCAATAATTTTAATTACACATTTCCAAAAATTCAAATACGTACAAAAAAATAATAATATTAAAGATTTTTAGAATTATTTTTATTGTTTTTTAACTTATTAAAATTTTGGAGAAGTCATGTTCATTTTTAAAATTGAAATTGATCATAAAAATTTATTTTTTTAAGTAGTAAACGAACTTACAAAAATAAATGCCCTTTTGTACATTAGTGTACTAATATTAATTAATAAATTTGAAAAACACTCTATAGTGCTAGGTTGATTATTTCCTTTTATATTTTTCAAAAATTTAATTATTTTTTAACTTTTCAATTGCTTAAATAAAAACTTATTAACTTTCAAAAATTATTTAAAAAATAAAATTCTTGTGACATTACTGCATATGAATTAAATGAACGAATTTTTCGACGTTTTTTGTATCTTTAATCGACTTTTTTTCCTTAAAGTCGATCCGAAGCCTGATAATTTTAAAAGTTTATTGATTTTTAAATAATTTTACTAACATTAAATCATATGGAAAATTTTTGTTTTTTAAATAATCAAAAAATCAATTTTTTAGAGAAAAATTTTAATTGAAAATTTTAGAAAATAATTGAATATTAAAAGAGTTATAGTGAAATTTTTCTTTTTAAATAATTAAAAGGTTTTTAGTTTAAATTTTTAATAGTTTGTATTTTGAGTAATGTTAGTTGAAAACTCTGATTACTTAATTTCATTTTAATATTTTAGTTCAATTTTGCTTCCTCATGAGGAAGGTTATATGGTCTCATTTTCATCTAGGATATATGTATATTAAATCCTGAGCAAATGTCCAGATGTATGTGTGTGTGTCACAAAAATCTACAAAATTTTTTTTATACAATTTTTTCAAAATTAAAAAAAAAATTTTTTTGGTATTTTTTGAAATAACTTTTTTATTTCTTAATATTTTCATTAATTTTTCTTAAAATTACATTCTTGACAAGAAAACGAATCGATTGATATATAAAAAGCGTACATTTTATCAAAATTTATAAAATAAATCGATATTTTTCTTTTTCACAAAAAATCCAAATTTTGTATTTTTTTAATTATTACCTTAACACAGTAAAATAATAATTCTATAAAAAAAAATCAAGCAACTGGTTTATATTATATTGACGAAGCGAAATGGTCATGAAATGAACAACTTGTTTTTTAAATTAGTTGATTTAGAAAATTGTATCTTTTCAAAATTATTTAATTAATTGTACATTTTTTAGCTGAAAAATCTATAAGTAATAAATTTGTTCCTCTGTCTATGCTATGCTGAGATTTCAAAAATTTTTTGTTTATTATTAAGCAATTATCTAATATTCTAGTGATAAATTGTCCCATACTTTATTTGTTTTGCTAATTAATTTCCCATTTTCTAAAAATATTTCGTTTTTCCTTTTTTTTAAACAGAAATTTGATTTAAAATCAAAAGAAATTTTGATCTAAATGTCTTTTGGTATTTCTTCCCTAATTCAGGGAAGTCTGATTCCGGGAAACTACAGAAAACTGTGGCGACGCTCAATTCCGCGAAAATCGTCTCAGACTATGACTCTATTGGCCCACCTCCCACTTTCACCCTTCCCATGCATAGCTGATTGACAATATCTACTGTCAAAAATATCAGTTTTTAAAGAAATTTGGTCATTGACTAATGCATTGTATCGCGCGAAAAAATGTCTAATAGACCGGGGAGGAGGCCAAGAGTTGATGAAGAAGATTTAATTAACTTATTTAAAAAAAGGAAAAGCGAAATATTTTTAGAAAATGGGAAATTAATTAGTAAAAATAATAAAGTGTGGGATAATTTATCACAAGAATTAGATAATCGCTTAACAGGAAGATCGCTTTACTCAAAACTGTGCGAAAATTCATTTCGGGATAAAGTGAACAATGACAATAAAAAAATGAGTGACTCTGAGGAAAATTCTTCTGTTAATTTGTCTTCTTTTAACGTCGCGGAAAGTGATTCGTCTTTCGATGAAAAT